AACCGCGGTCGACTACGTGGGAGTCCAGCGACATAGCCATTACGCTAACTGCTGGTTCCCAAACAAATATTTCTTTTAAAAAACAGAAAGATATATTTTAGGGGATGGTGTGGTGGTTGAGGCACCGGATTCCACATGGCAGACTGTAGTTTGAATCCCAGACTTGATGGCTTGAAAAATAAGCCTGGTATAAGAAGAGAATGGAGGAGAAAGGATTGCAGTGTGACCATGCCCCTGGTGGGGGAAGGTGATTTCTCACTTTCCCTCTCTGTCTTTCTTTAGGGAGCACACATGCCGTATAGCAAAAATCTAAAAAAAGGGAAAAAATGTATTTGAAAATTCTGGCAGATAGATCCATTTTTTAAAAAAAATAATTATTTTATTTAACTTTATTTACTTATTTATTTTTAAATTTGACTAGAGAGGGACAGAGTGAGAGAGAGAGAGAAAGCGAGCAGCCAGGTCCGGGACTCGGACCACAGTTGGCCATATGGGAGTCCAGTGCCCGTAACCACCATGCCACCTGCTGACCCTGGTAGATCTAATCTTGAAAAATTACCCAAAATTTAGTCAAGTGTGCAAAGCTCAGCTTTCACAGATTCAGGTTGGGGGAGAAAGCTGAGGCAGGGCTTAAATACCTGAGCTGGTCTCTGTGAGTCCTTAGCTGGTGGGGTGGGTGGGCCAGTCACAGGTCAACCTAAGGAGCACTTGGGCATGTGTTATTGACCAGAGCAGCCAGTGTTTGTTTTGTGCCTGTGCTGTGGCCCAGACACTGAGCTTGGAACTTCCACGACAATGTGGGAGATTGGTGCCTCCATGTTCCCATTTCACAGATGCGACCTTGGGAGCCCTGAGGTGGAGCTGAGTCTTGTCCAGTCGGTGCCAAAGCTTGACCTAGGTCCTGAGCCACACGTGTGCTTTGTAAACCTCTGTCCTCCCCTCAGAAGGCTTTGGTGTGACAGGAAGTGAGCCAGCTCTGTGTGAAAGCAGCAGAATGTGGGACCAGCAGTTGGCATAATGGCTATGTCACTGGACTCCCATGTAGCCGAC